GAAAAGTTGCGTCTCTTTCCTTCCCTCTGGGCACTTGTGTTTTAACCTGACCTTTATTTTGATCTTGCTCTTTTTTTGCTGGGATCGGGTCTTGTCTTCGACATTCACGATTCTCTTATTTGCACCATATTCCTTTCTTTCAGTGTCTTCCTGCCATGATCTGTTACTTGCTCCTTTTTTTGCAAGACGTTATATCGCATCTTTTTTTTTAACTAGCATAGCAAACTCCAGGGTTTTACGGTGGTGCGCCATCCCGGTCTTTCTTGTATTTTGTTCTTTCTTGTATCTTGCTTTTTTTTGACTTTATTGGCTATTCTCTTTGTAAATGAGGTATTCTCAGGGGGATTACTGTATCATGGCCTAACAAAATATGGATTAGAGAATGAACTCCAAGTTGCTATATATTGCTCTATACTACCATGTCCTCTGCCAAGATTTTTCATCATGCTTACCTAATGGGAGTCGACGAGTCATCCATCTGGGGAACCTTCGAAGATTCTAGAGATATGTGGAATGCCTAAGGCATCTTGCACTACAAATGTAAATGAAAATCTAAGAGCTAAATACTGGGGAAATTAGAGTATAAATAAAAAAAAATAAGTAAGTTAAAAGCAGAAGAGTCTAGAATAATATAGAGAGGGCTGCAAGGTTGCCTGAACGACGAGTGGAAGTTGCTGGATCACCGTAGAAACTCTCCACAAGAAATTTTTGGAAACACAAAAGGAACTGGCCCGCTCACCTTGACTCTTTCTCTTCATCTCTCCCGCTTTGCTTTGGATTCTCCCCCCAGAGCTTCTTCTTTTTTAATTACTTTGCTTTCTTGTAAGATACCCTTTCCCTTCTCCTGACCGCTTCCCAATTCCCCCTCCATCCCACCACTTGATCAGACTCTGCATCTGCATCTCTCTACATATTCAATTGCTCGGAATTTATCTTTTTCTAACAGTCTTTCAGAATCACAATCCGCCATCATGTCTGAGACCTTCGAGTTCCAGGCTGAGATCTCTCAGCTGCTCTCGCTGATCATTAACACTGTCTACTCTAACAAGGAAATTTTCCTTCGTGAGTTGATCTCCAACGCCTCCGATGCTCTCGACAAGATCCGCTACGAGGCTCTCTCCGACCCCTCTAAGCTCGATTCCAACAAGGATCTGCGCATTGATATCATTCCCGACTTGGTGAACAAGACCCTCACCATCCGCGATACCGGTATTGGTATGACCAAGGCTGTAAGTTTCTACCCTCGGATTTGACTCAAATCACTCTCCACCTCATATTTGTTTGACCACAAGAAACTCATATTCATCTCTTATAGGATCTCATCAACAACCTTGGAACAATTGCCCGCTCCGGCACCAAGCAGTTCATGGAGGCTCTGTCCGCCGGTGCTGATATTTCCATGATCGGCCAGTTCGGTGTCGGTTTCTACTCTGCCTACCTGGTCGCTGACCGTGTCACCTTTGTGTCCAAGCACAACGATGACGAGCAGTACATCTGGGAGTCCGCCGCCGGTGGTACTTTCACTCTCAAGGAGGATACCGAGGGCGAGCAGCTCGGCCGCGGTTCCAAGATCATCCTTCACTTGAAGGATGAGCAGATGGACTACCTCAACGAGGCCCGCATCAAGGAGGTTGTCCGCAAGCACTCCGAGTTCATCTCCTACCCCATCTACCTTCACGTCCTGAAGGAGACCGAGACCGAGGTCCCCGATGAGGAGGCTGAGGAGGCCAAGGAGGAGGATGATGAGAAGAAGCCCAAGGTCGAGGAGGTCGATGATGAGGAGGAGGAGAAGAAGAAGAAGACCAAGACCATCAAGGAGTCCAAGATCGAGGAGGAGGAGCTTAACAAGACCAAGCCCATCTGGACCCGCAACCCCGCCGACATCACCACTGAGGAGTACGCCTCCTTCTACAAGTCCCTCTCCAACGACTGGGAGGACCACCTCGGTGTCAAGCACTTCTCCGTTGAGGGTCAGCTCGAGTTCCGCGCTATTCTCTTCGTTCCCAAGCGCGCTCCCTTCGACCTCTTCGAGACCAAGAAGACCAAGAACAACATCAAGCTCTACGTTCGCCGTGTCTTCATCACCGATGATGCTACTGACCTCATCCCTGAGTGGCTCAGCTTCGTCAAGGGTGTCGTCGACTCCGAGGACCTTCCCCTCAACCTGTCCCGTGAGACTCTCCAGCAGAACAAGATCATGAAGGTCATCAAGAAGAACATCGTCAAGAAGACCCTTGAGCTCTTCGTCGAGATCTCCGAGGACCGTGAGCAGTTCGACAAGTTCTACTCTGCCTTCAGCAAGAACATCAAGCTCGGTATCCACGAGGACGCCCAGAACCGCCCCACTCTGGCCAAGCTCCTCCGCTACCAGTCCACCAAGTCCGGCGACGAGCAGACCTCGCTCGCTGACTACATCACTCGCATGCCCGAGCACCAGAAGAACATGTACTACATCACCGGCGAGTCCATTAAGGCCGTTGCCAACTCTCCCTTCTTGGATACCCTCAAGCAGAAGAACTTCGAGGTTCTGTTCCTGGTTGACCCCATTGATGAGTACGCCTTCACCCAGCTGAAGGAGTACGACGGCAAGAAGCTCGTCGACATCACCAAGGACTTCGAGCTCGAGGAGACCGAGGAGGAGAAGACCGAGCGTGAGACTGAGGAGAAGGAGTTCGAGGACCTTGCCAAGGCCCTCAAGAACGTTCTCGGCGACAAGGTCGAGAAGGTTGTTGTCTCCTCCAAGCTCACCGGCTCCCCCTGCGCCATCCGTACCGGCCAGTTCGGTTGGTCCGCCAACATGGAGCGTATCATGAAGGCCCAGGCCCTCCGTGACACCTCCATGTCCTCTTACATGTCTTCCAAGAAGACTTTCGAGATCTCCCCCAAGTCTCCCATCATCAAGGAGCTTAAGAAGAAGGTTGAGGCCGATGGCGAGAACGACCGTACCGTCAAGTCCATCACCCAGCTGCTCTTCGAGACCTCCCTGCTGGTCTCTGGCTTCACCATCGAGGAGCCCGCCAGCTTCTCCGAGCGCATCCACAAGCTCGTCTCCCTCGGCCTGAACATTGACGAGGAGGAGACCGCTCCCGCTACCGAGGCTGCTGCTCCCGCCGAGGCTACCGGTGAGAGCACCATGGAGGAGGTTGATTAGATTAATCCTCTCAACTCTTTCGATATTGCTAATTTTTAAGTCTTACGGGAAATGGGAAACGGGATACGACCCTCTGTGATGTTTTTTAACTTTTCATTTTATGTGTTCGCCAATAAGAACCGATACTTTTTATATTTATTTTCAGGATGGAGTAGACTGTAGTGTTTTACTGTAAAGGCCGTTGTAGTTTAGTTGCATCTCTGAAACATTAAGCATTCGATCTCAATACATGCAATCATAGATGATCCTCTCAATTCGTACCTTCCAACAAACTTCACTTCATGACCATCCCTCTCCCTCTCCTTGTCCCTCTTCCTCTTCCTCTTCCTCTTCCCCTTCCCCTCCAGAGCCTCTCATACCACCACCCATTTCAGCAGACCATACATTACCTCACGCAATATTTCCCGTTTACCATTTACAATGACTCAGTGGGGTAAACAAATTTCCAACCCCAAACCATCATCTCGGGCTCCACCAAACCAAACCCAGTCAATACTGACCTTTCATAACAGCCCGGATGCAGCCTATATTGTTGTATGCCATGAATGTACAGCTCCTCTTACATTCCGTTAATTGGGCGCGTAACTCAGTTGGTAGAGTGTTCGCTTTGCATGCGAAAAGTCCAGCGTTCGAATCGCTGCCCGTCCACTTCCTTTTTTTATTTTAGATAGATTTATCCGAGCGCCCAACATCAGATCTACAATTTGGCATAGGTTGCTATTCTATATGTTTTTTTTGGGGGTCAATTGAATTTTTATGGGTGATGTCTACTGGTTAATGGTCTTTTGGCCCTAAAATGTAAATGATTTCGATGATTTCGTAGGAATTTGGAAATCGGGATTGACAACCTTGCAATATATATTTCACGTAGTTAGGCATCATGTCTTGGGAAGGATATGACACAGCTGTGTTCAAGAAACATGTTTCTATTTAAATGCCAAGAGTATTCTCACCTTTTTTCAAGTAGCACGGTGGAAAACAGATTCTTCATTGGGCACTTCACTAGGTGAGGTTTTTACTTCGCACGATTGAAGTATAACATATGGATATGGATATATCATAGATCCACCTATGTATCTACACCACCATCCTAATCCCAGCATCCTTGATCGATATTCTTGCTGACGATATAGTTAATACTGGGTTCTATTTATTTGTTCTGTTTATTACTCGGATCCTCCTTTCACCACCACCGGTGGTGCAATTCAATCATGCCCTAAACGTTGGGCGGTACTGAGTTCGAAAACGTTTCCAATGATTATTAGCTCGACAATAATAATTATTTAATGACAGGATTAGCCCAGAGGCTCCTAAAAAAATGGCGCTGGAGTTCGAGAAAGAATCGGCAGTGTAGGCGGTGAAACCGATTTCCAGGACTTAGATGAGATAAGAGTCTTCTTGTGTGACGAATTCCATTCAATTCCTAGCCACAAATTTGAGCTACAAACAGGCGCTTGGCCTGGTCGAAGAATATAGCTAGAGAGTAAAGGAATAGAAGATCTACAAGATTTCTATACACAACCTATCGGACTTTCATATCACTTGATTTTTATAGATGAGGCTGAATGTGATAGAGAGGTTAGATACGTTAGTCTCTGTTAGGGCACTTATATAGGTTCTTTTATACCAGGCATTCTTTCACAAATATATACTTTAAAAATAGCAGAAACATACAAGTGGGGATTAGTGAGCCAATGAGATATCCAGATCGGACCGAGAAATGTTTAAATTTCACCGAAACAGTTCCCATTGGCTTCAACACCATGTAGAGGATATCACGTGGAAAAAAATAGGCAAAGGGGATGAAACAGATATTTCCACTTCCAATGCTTTGAACAGAAAAGATACAATGTATAGACCCAATACGAGAAATGAGTGGTGGCTGTGTGGCGTGTTGTTCACGCAGGCTATCTTGACCATTGCCCTGGAGATGTACGCTCTCCCTATCTCTCGTCGGAACCACTCTAACCAGAACAGATATATACTTGTGGAATGGCAGCTATGGGTGACTCCTACCATCATACAGGTCACAGTCTCTTACATGATCCCAATAAACCTGGGCATCTTAATATTCGCCTCTGTCTACGAGTTCATCCTTGCTTTGGATGCTATCCATCACAAAAATAATGTTCTCCTCTTTTCAATATGCATCTGCAATGTCTGCAGCTTCGGGTACTCTATCATGCAGTACATATCAGTGAAAGAAACCACCGCGAGACTGTTTAAGTCGCGTTATGGGTTTCCGACTCTGGTAGATACCACTCGCAACGTCTGGCCCCAGATCCGGCCAGCGGAGATCATGGTCTCAATTATTACGGGAGTGTGCACTCTGCTCTTGTGCTGGTCTGTATACCTATTGCATAGAGAGTATTCATGGGTCATATACAAGTCTGTTCATGGCAACTTGAAAACACGAATTCGTTATTTTGGCTACGAGGTAAGGTCTACCACCTAGGGCCTCACTGCCTTTGAAAATCTTTCGAGTAAGCTAACAAAATACGAGCACAGATCTTCTTGGTCTTAATAAAACTCCTCTTTTACTTCCTGCTGGGTTTCATCATCCAATACAATCTGGTGTATGTCCATTTTAGGGAACCTGAGTATACTCTCACAATGCTCCTCATTCCGGTCGCATTCATCATCATGCTACTTGGTATTTGGGTTGTCCAACACGAACGAACCATTGGCGTCGTTGCTATCATCGTGAGCTCTCTTCCCCCCCTGCCAAACTTGGAGAACTACTAACCTCTCGCAAGGTATGCTATCTCGGTCTAGTTGCATATCTCATCAGCCGCATTATCGTTCTCTGTGGGGCTCGAACCGATGGGAAGGACATGATGTTGTTCTTTGCATCGGTATCTTTGGCGCTGACTTCGGCAACGATTTGCTGCACCGTTATCTGCATCAAAAACTTCGACCAAGGCTTTAAAGTCATCAATCAATCGAAGAACGGCCATGCTCAAGAGTCATATTCACGAGAGTCATATTCGCTACCTGCCGGAAATTTTCCAGCAGAGCCGTCTCGTTCCTTTTCGCGTCCTTCCTCGCGACTCACGCTTGATTAGGATTGCGTTGCTATATTAGCTGATTTATAAGAGCGATGTAACAAAATACAGAAATATAAATTACTTGACTATCCTAGATGATAGATCTCTGAGGTTCATTATATTGAGACTCCACCATGGTCTTTTTTCTCGGCTTATTAGGATAGCAGGAAGGGGGAAAGATCGTAATCGGAACAAATTAAAACAAAAACAAAAACATACAACAGTGAGGATTCGCTGGTGGTCACCCACCCAACTACTAACTCACCGGCGTGTGGCTTAAGTACGGCTGAGCGGACGGGAAGCCCTGTTTTCCACACCCTGTGGTCGTATGTGTAGGAATTCATATGGGAGGGGATCATATGATGCAAATACTTGGGCAATGATAGAGAGTGGGACGATCAGAAAGGCCGAGTGCGATGTTAGGGAGACAAGTTATATATCACGTGTCTTATCTTGTCTCGTCTTCTAAACAACGACACATGCTTCCGGGCTAAAGGAATAATAGAGAATATTTACTTTATTCTTTTTTCCATATATATAGATCTATACTGTCTACTCAACGTTCATAGTGTTCTTGATTCCATGGTGAGTTCATAGTGTTCTTGATTCCATGGTGACACACGGTAAGACCTATGATAAGGAAGACAAGGCAAAGCTTCCAGGTTTTATTATAGGTGTTACGAGCCAGGTCAATCAATGAAGAAAGAGTGCATTTAAACTAGAAAAGCAAAGATGGAGAGAAGGAGAGAGAGCAAGAGAGAGAGTAAGTGGTAAATCCCAGGAAATCTGAAAGCAGAGATATCCTAGCAAGCAAACAAACTCTTTCCTAATTGGGAAGGGTACTATTACCCGAATAGGCAAAGCAGCAAAGGGAGAGAAAGTGAGATCCCTGACATGTAATAGAGCATGTGAAGATTGTCAGATCGTGACAACAGGTAGCGAGATCTCAGCATGACATTTTGGGAAACACGCTAAAAACCCGAAAAAAACCCGAAATTCCATGGCTCTGAGTGTAAGAGCCTCTTAATAAAATCTATGCCAATTCACACTCAATAAGGCTCTCGACTGCATTGTGGAAATTCCAAATCTTCGTGATCTTCAATCCAGCAGATTCCACCAGTTTATGCCACTCGGCTTCGGTACGCTCAGTAGTAGCAAGAGTAGACATTACGATGATATCCATGCTAGTCGACTCCCAGTATGCGTCGGTATCATTGACTATTAGGTCATTAATCAGCACCTTGCTGAATCCGGGCTTCATAGCATCCGCTACAGCCTTTAGCATCTTGCGGGCACTATCATCTGACCAGTCGTGGATAACAGTGTGGAAATAGTAAGCACGAGCACCTATAGAAGAAAATGTCAGCTTTAGTTTGATTTAAGAGGGGGTCTCTAGAAGGGGAAAATATACCCTTAATAGGCTGCTTAGTGAAGAAGTCATGCGCCATCGGCTCAATAGAGGGGTGGAGTTGCTCTTTCTTAGATTGAGCCGTAAGCTCGGGAGTGTCCTGTAGCACTAGACGTCCAGGAGCATCAGGCCACTTGCGTCTAAACTCTGAGATATCGTGGCCTAGGCCGCCACCGAGATCGATAAGGAGAACATCATCTTGTCCAACATTAGCGATTAGGGTAGGGACGTCATAGAAACCAATGTCCATCCAACTAGGGCGTCCTTGTCGGTAAAATGCCATATGGTTGTTAAAATGCCTAGCAAACACTGGGTTCTCCTTTGCATACTCGAAGAAGTGAAGATTAGTCTGGCGTCCGAGCTGGAAGGGACAATCCTTGCCATTAGATGGGTTAATATATCCATCCTTCTTGAGATAGGCAGGTAGAGCAGCCACGCTAAGCTTAAGGCAGTCAGTCCTAGCCAATAAGTTAGCATTATACTTTATTATATCTTAGGACCCTAGGCCTATTCTAGGCCTATAGGCTTATACCTACGCGAAAGCGTATGAATCTGTGCATAGTTGCCAGGTTAATGTAATAGAAGTTCCGGTGCGACGGTATTCATTAGCACCGGTCTGGAGGATGACTCCTGTTGCGCTCAAGTGCTTTAGGATGCGAGCTAGTGAGATTTGTGGTTAGCCAGGCGTACCGATAAGGCAGGGAAAATGATAAATCACATACCGAGAAGGGCTGGGTCAGCACCTGTCGCCTTAGCTAGCTCGGCAGCAGATTTGGGCTTGTCATCCTTAGACAAAATAGCAAAAAGCCCTAGATCAATCCCTATCTGCACAGAGGAATACGTGGCAGTCTATGAAGCTAGCATGAGTTGCTATTGACGACGCAAAACTAAAGCTTGGGAACTAACCTGGGCCCAACAGTGTCTATTCATAGCCTCACGCGGGGTTTGAAGGGCATACACAAGGGATTGAGCAGCTTCCACAAGCGCGATTCGATCGGTGTAGTCATGTAGGCTAACAGATTTGCCAAGGGAAGAAATTTGATTGACCAGATTAGGAACCAGCTCGGGCATGCTAGGGGAAGTTGCCACACGGGCAAAGAAAGTCTCATCGTGGTCCCCGTCAGTGTGGGCGGTTCCACTTGATGTGAGGTTTGCAACGGCAGCCATTGCAGATATAAACTAGGAAAGCTTAGAAGTGTAGAAGTGTTTAACGGGGCAGAAGAGTGTGAAGAGATGTAGAACAAAAAGCCAACCGAGGAGCCTTTATATAAACTACATGCACTCTCAATGCATCACCTTTCATGTAACAAGATGTAATCTTAGTTCCCTTTATTTTTTAAACGAGGCTACACCAGCTGAGCAACGGCTAGGTCGAATGTAACCATGCCGGGCCACTGGCATGAATATCAACCTAGGTCAGGTCCGCTTGGGCCATATGGACTCCCTCTTTTGTTAAATCTATGGCCGAGAAAGTGGAGAACTGGTAGCACAGCGTTGGTCGCTGATTTAACAAAACGAATTGAGTATGGATAGATTTCATAAATAATTACATGGAGGTTACTCCCGGGGCACTGGCACCCCGGAAGAACTATGGGATAAGGGCAGAAGCACCGAAATGCGCTACCGTTCCGTTACCCCATGTTATGTGGTTTGGTATGGATGTCAATGTATGTTATCTTCTCAGCCGATTCCCTGTAGGCGTAGGATCACTAAGCGTTTGTTACCCATTTTCCATAATTAGCACCTGTTCTCGCTATGATATGTTTGCTTAGTTACAGCTGTGATTAGACTTCCGTAAAGCCCACAAATAGGCCCGGCCTTCGAAACCTAACCTAACCTATAGCCCCATAATGGGGACCTATAAGGCCGCTAATAAAGCCTATTTATATGCATAAGTACGGCCTTAGCGCTTATAAACTTTCTGATTAATGCCTGTTTTTTACGCATATTCTGGTCTATAAGCTTGTTATAGAACATCTCGGCCCGATGCCTAATTCGGGGGTTCAACTTTGACAGAGTATCAATATAGAGATATATATATCTTGTAAAGTAGGTGCATCATTCTATTAAAGTACTAGGGATCTTGCCCGCGGGCGGAGTCTAAGGCTGCCTACGTATATTTGTTATTAGTAGGTAGATAGTTTAACCTCACTTAATATATGTATCTAATTAATCGATCTTATTAATCTTATCACTCGGTCAATTTAGTCAATTCCTATAAGAGAGAACTTGGTTAGTTTTATGCTTAACGTATTTCACAAGCGGCCCGGCCACACAAGCGGCCCGGCCACCCAGCCCAACCCGTTAATTTTAAATGCATTTATTTCAACCAAAACGCCATTATATTAATTCAACTAGAGATTGGTCTATCTGGACATGTTTCTCGTCTATGACCTGGCAATCTGCATATTCCACACCCCCGGGGGGCCGCGTACGTTGCTGAATAGCCGGTTCTCTAGGAATACTAGGACCCGGGGGAGGTGCTTCACCTGCTTCCTATTGCTGCATAACTAATGCAGAGGCTTCTTCAACTGAGAGACCTTCTTCAGAGGGTATATGCCTTCGAGATCTAGCCCGCTTTTGCTTCTGCTTCTCGTTGGCGGCGCGTAATTCCTTGTTTTCTTTCGCTAGTAAAATAGCGCTATGTATTGTGAGCTGGAAGCCTTTCACAAGTTGGTTTAATGCACGATCTGATGGGCTAGGTGGACTTCGAGACCTTGTACGAAGTAAAGCTTTGATTGACGAAGCCTGTCGACGTAGCTCTTTCTCTGTAGCTAGGGTTTTTGGTGTAAAATTTCGACTTGATTCGCTCCCCCTACTTAGAGGGGGGTTAGGGTTCGAAGTCGAATATTGAGCTTTGATATCACTTGATCAGGTACAAAAGGTACTAAACCAGCTGCTTTAAAGCTATTCTTAATAGTCTCCGATTTAAAAGCTTCAATTCGTGCGAGGGGGTATACTTCGAGGAAGTCAAGTTTATCGATATAGTTGATTCCATTTCTCATTTTTGTCTCAACCAGCCGACCATATGATCGTTTTAACACCGCAAAACAACCAATATCGAGAGGCTGTAAAAGGTGAGACGAGTGAGGTGGCATACAGATCGGCACCACCTTATTTTACTCACAAATCTCGTCGAATTTAGGGGTCAAATGGCTTCTATGTCCGTCAAGTATCAAAAGTCGATACCCCCCTTCGTACACGAAGAAGTCATCGGAATAAAGAGCTTTTAAAGCCAGCGAAGTCCAATTTCATCAGAGGTCCAACCGTTTAGACTAACTTCAAATCGCTAGTTATCCGGAAGGTCGTCGAACCAAGATTCGAGGAAGACTTTGCCTTTAAAAATCACACACGGAGGGAGGGCCCACCCCGAAGCATTTATACACTCAATAGCAGTCACCCATTCACGATTTCCAGGCTATAAAAGCGAGCGCCGACCGTAGAATTCACTTCTCGTTATCACCTTCGCCGTAGCGATTAACCCTATTGCGAAACCGGTCTTATCAAAGTTATAAACGTCATCGGGGTCGATTCCAAATTAAATGATCGTCTTTTAAATAAGATTAAACCACTCTTAAATGATTTTTAGGTCTTCGCATTTCGCACGTTCGTAATTATAGCGTCTCGAGAATCGGGAGGAGAGGATAGGGTATCGTTTCACAAAATTTATAACCCAGTTTTCGCCGACCGAAATAATCGGGGTAGTTCCACGTTGTTCAAGGAGAAGATTCGCCATTTCTCGAACAGTAGAAGGACGGGGGGTAGATCCACGAGAGTCTATAGAGATTATCCATTTTTAAAGAGATTCCTCTTCAATCTTTGTCAATTTATAGTTATTAGCACGTACTTCTCCTTGGTTTTGGTGGCCGCGTAGTCGATCTTAGAGAGTTATGCGAGGTACGTTAAAACGGCGCGCCACCTCGCGAAGACTGCTGATTTCTTGATTTTTAAAAGCCTGGATAGCTAATAAGACCCTACCCTCTTGCTCTATTAAATTTCTAGAGCGTTGAGAGCGAATTAGTGGCATGGTGGGTAGTTGAAGAAGGAAGGTCTAATTAATTGACGTGTTTCGCGTTAGGTGGCCGGGCCGCTTGTGTGGCCGGGCCGCTTGTGAAATACGTTAGACGGTAAGTTAAATACTTAAAGATAAGGAAAATCTGTATTATTTATGCATTTACTAAGCATTGGCATATTTGTATTGTTTAGGGACCAATAGGCCCCTATTAAAGCCCTATAGGCTTTTACCACAGGCCTATAGCCCATCGATGGGCCCGAGGACCGGGCCTAAAGCCCAACCCATTGACGGGTTGGGTTGGGTTGGGCTTTGGGCTTTGTGGGCCGGTGCGGAAGTCCACTACTGAGGATTCTTTACAATTCCTGATACTTGCTAAAGGGAAGTGTTCCATGAGAGTCCTCTTCTTTTTATCACCACCACAACGGTTCCTGAGGCATCAATGAAGCCTCAGATTGTAAAAGGCTGGCCGTAGGCCATTTGAGATACAATTCGGACCAAGTTTACTTCTGCTAATCTTAGCAAATTATTACCCTTATGCGCCTCCACCCCCGGTGGACCCTTAAGGGTGGCTGGTAGCTACGTACTACTACTGGTAATAATATAGTATGAGCCGGTGACCTAGCAAACTAGACAAGCGTCATATCCGCATACAGTCTTGACTCCATATATACAACAAAAATAAGAATGAAAAAACACATACAACATGCTGTTGTATGACCTTGGCCACCTAGCGCTCACGGTTCGGGCTTCGGGCTTCGGGCATGGGCGGCTCGCCGCTCTATTTAGGGCGGATATTCACCCACCTGAATATTCAGCCCGTACAGCAAAAGGTGTATTAAGAATTTCCCATTTAATAATATACAGTTTCTAGCTGCTTCCATACAAGGGGTGTCGAATTCCGTTCACACCCACGTAAAACCAGACGGTCGAGACAGGATACATTACACCAGGGTGAAGACTTGCCCACACAGCACTCTGCCACAATGGGCAATCACACAAATGTAATACGTTCAAAAATAGTAGACCGTTTTGATCACAACTACCCTGTGCTATATAACTACATGTACCTATGTGTCTCGCCATAATAAAAAAAGCATTGCAAGGCTCTAAATGTGGTAGTGTCGTAGGCTGACTGGCCCTTCCGGAGATTAATTTGTAACAGAAATCTAAGTATGACAACGTATACTCTAACTAAAACAAAAATCCGCTATTTTTCCAATTGATGCGGACTAGCTTACTATTATGCACTGTTGTGAGAATTCCAATCTGCGAAGATTTTGCAGAAAATCCCTTGTAATTCCGCAGTATGCAACCATATTCGACAATTTGCCCAAACATCTCCAAGTTGCGTCACGTCTCGGGCCGACAATGGACCATTATCTTCACTTATCGCTGTATTTGGAGTATGATTGACGTTTGACTAACCATTTTAGCTCCAAATTGTGTGCAGATCCCCCGCGCCGCCCAGGGGCCGGGGGTCTGAACACTGCCCCGGCTTTTCTCTAGGGGGACCGTCGGCCTATTATCGGCGAGCTAACTGTATGAGGAGAGATTTTCAGGATAGATATAGTATATTGGAGGGAAACCACATCTATGAAGGATTGGCAACCCCGTGCCAAGGGTTATGGCAAGGAATGTCAAGTAGCCCGGCTGCGTACAATAGAGAGAAAATCTTGGAGATCCAGATATAAAAGGCGAGCTTCTCCGATCGGTATCGCACTCAAATCATTTACCATAAGCCCACTACAGTCTTTAACAATTTGAGGCATCACTTTTGCCGGAATTATGAAGCTGTCCCACTCCCTGACAGCTTTCCTACTCCCCCTGATATGCACTGTATCAGCGGCAGATGTAGAAGCATGGAAGTCCCGCAATATTTACTTTGCTTTGACTGATCGCATTGCCCGTGGAAGCGATGATACAGGTGGAGATGCCTGCGGCAACCTTGGAGACTACTGCGGTGGAACTTTCCAAGGTTTGGAGTCCAAGCTTGACTATATTAAGGGGATGGGCTTTGATGCAATCTGGATCACCCCTGTTATCGCTAGTGAGTTCGATTAGTTCCTCAGGCTGTTCTATTCTCGATGACGCAACTTATCTGCTCACTTTATCATTTCTACAGATGCGCCAGGTGGATATCATGGATATTGGGCGCAGGATCTCTATAGTATCAATGAGAACTATGGCACCGCTGATGATCTCAAAAGTCTAGTTGATGCGGCTCATGAGAAGGTAAGTATAATTCCATAGCGTTTCCTCCGGTCCAAGTTGGAAAGTACTGACCGGTTTCACAAAATAGGGAATCTATGTCATGGCAGACGTAGTTGCCAACCACATGGGAGGCCCCATCAGTGATAACAAGCCGGAGCCATTGAACCAGGAGAGCTCCTATCATTCCACCTGCACAATCGACTACTCAAGCCAGGATAGTGTTGAAAACTGTCGTATCGCATCAGACCTACCTGATGTGAACACACAGAGTCCTGAGATCCGGGAGCTATTCCAGAAATGGGTCAAATGGCTCGTCACGGAATACTCGTTCGACGGCTTGCGCATCGACACCGTCAAGCACGTTGAAAAGGACTTCTGGTCGGCCTTCTCCGCTGCTGCCGGGGTCTACACCATCGGCGAAGTCTGGGACGGTGACCCAGCCTACCTTGCCGGATACGCAAAGGACATGGACGGCCTGCTCAACTACGCAGTCTACTACCCCGTGAACAACTTCTACCAGCAAAAGGGCTCTTCCCAGGACATAGTTGACATGCATGATAAAATCGATACTGCTTTCCCTGATCCCAGCGCGCTGGGCACGTTCATAGACAATCACGACAATGCGCGATGGCTGAGCGTAAAGAATGACAAGTCGCTTTTGAAAAACGCACTCGCCTACGTCATTCTCGCCCGGGGCATCCCCATCGTCTACTACGGCACGGAACAGGGCTACGCGGGCGGCAACGACCCCGCAAACCGCGAGGACCTATGGCGCAGCAAATTCAGCACAGACGCGGACTTGTACAAGGCCATATCCCTGCTCTCGGCGGCGAGAACGGCCGCTGGTGGCCTCGCTGACAACGACCATGTCCATCTGTACGTCGCGGATACGGGATATGCCTGGAGCAGAGCGGGTGGAGACCTCATTGTCCTTACGTCCAACAGTGGATCTGGGTCTGAGGATAAGCACTGCTTTGACTCGAAGAAGCCTGGTGGGACGTGGAAGAATACCTTTGGAGAGGGGACAATCACCGCCGATGAAAGCGGACAAATCTGCATCACTATCTCTGATGGTGAGCCTGCGGTGCTGATTGCGAGCACTTAAATGAGAGTGACTAGTTCTCTCTAGTTGGGTCTTCATAACTGCCTAGCTGCAGTGAGTGTAGGGCTTTGTGCTATTCAGTTATGCGATAGTTCCTATCATGTTGCCAAGCCTGCTTCCGATCAACAATATGGTTATTGACGCAACGACATTATGTTTGGATATTCTTGTCATCTTTCATTTCTGTATTTAATGTACATAGTTGACTAAATGGAAGATTAGATTTAGCTGAAGACTGTGTCACTGTGTGCTGGTTTTATCTCAATTTCCGCTTCCACCCCGAGACCCATTAGGTTTAGAAGCAGTTGACTGTCCCAAAAGGCCCATAAAACGAGTCACGGAAGAAGGGAAAAAAGTCAAGGCCCTTTTGTTATGGTCACCAAATAATCCTCTCGGTTTGTCTTCCAACTAATCTACGTCCTTCTCTGTCAACCATATTAGGCTGCTACCCCCGAGAAGTTCTCTAAGGGTATATGTGGCTTCCTAAGGAACTTGATATACACTTAATCTCTGATGCTCTATGCTCTATCGATTTAGTAAACGTAGAAATTGATAATACCGTGCCTTTTAACCAAGTCCTTTATAATCGCTATATTACGACCTCTTACTAGTCGTATAAAGTTCAAATTTAGAATCTAGGTTTATATTAGCTATATAGTTAAGTATATATTTGAATTAAAAATAAAATCCGATCGGTGGAAGTTGAGATATTATAGAAAATGTGAAAGTTGATATATTAATGTTAGATATATATTTACGATTTATCCGGGAGTACCACCACTTTCTACAGAACCTCTAGAATTTTAAAAAATTATAAATAAACGAATTTTTCGTGTTTTTAAATATGATTCAGAGAAATAACTAATAATTGATCATAGATTATTTAAACTAATATAATATTATATTAGAGAGAAACGATACTAAATATAGGGTAATTACAATAACCTAAAAGGGGGTTTAACTTAGCATATTTGTATTATTTAGGGGAGAATGGCCCCCAATTAAAGCCCTATAGGCTTTGCGGGCCGGTGCGGAAGTCTAGGTATGGGCGGCTCGCCGCTCTATTGAGGGCACTTGGGGCGGATATTCGCCCACCTGAATATTCTTCACCCGTATATTCCGCCTATGTAGCGAAAGGTACATTTTCTATTATAGCTTAAAAAACAATAAGTAGCCTTCTTTTCCCCTCCGGCTTTATCACTCTAACCTTGTAATTTTTTTAATCCAAGTTATGACCCGACTATTTGCTATAGACGTGATAGTCAAGTTGTGAAGGTTCATTTATATACACGGTGGTATCAGGCTTCAAATCGGGTGGATGGCTTTCTGACGACTGCAAGGCAGTCATGCTAGGTCATACCGCGATGAATGCGCATTTTTCGACTCGTGGCACGGTTGAAGTAGTGCGCCTCTGAAATATAACTCATGGTAGTTCATACGGGACTGTTTTCTTTTTCTTCTATTGTTATTTACGCGAATTTGAAGAAACAAATGATGAATACAATTGGATTGTATGCAGCGTGTCATTTTGCTGGTAGAATAGATATCATCCCACCCTATAAGAAGGCAATATATCCAAAGCATTATTCAGAGCGTGCTCACATCTGTAGAGTGCAGTTGAAACTTTCACTGTATATGAGTGGTTGGGCATTATGCAGTTCTGTAATTGTGCGTTGGTTGGATTCTTGACTAAAAGATTGCTAGGCACATTTATATTAATGTTGAGTTTGAGTGACGGTGAATAACATCATATCTCTTCATTTCCTATTCCTCATGGAATAATGTTAGGGGTCTTATCTGGAATATTACTGGGCCTAGCTATTATGCAGACCGATCTGAGTAACAGCTGGTACAGCGGATGCAAGGGCGAAATCGTTAACGCAGTGCCAGTCATCATGCTTCCGTTGATTCCGAAGCAAGTAGCAAATATCATTATCGTCTCTAGAGGCCCAATGACTATCCGGGCTCTCCTTCATCACCTTATAATAATGTTGTCGTTGCTTCTTCAGTCTTAGTCGAATCAGAGAACCAGCATAAACTATATCTGCATGTGTGATCCAAACCGTCAGCACTGGAGTTTCAGCTGGCCCGACACCTAGAGGTATCTTAATTAGCCATGATTAGCACTCGCCGATAAAAAGGCTTTAAGTGTCCGATAGTGAGAGGCACCCCTCCTCCGATGGTTGCCTCATAATCATATGCTTCTCCATTCTCCTTCTTGCATCGTTTAATTCACAGAATGAACATTAGAATACTAGTACATTAGCCTCGTGGAGCTGTATCTCTGTGGCATAATAGAATAATTGCAATGTCAATGAGAAAATGCTACTGAAGAGGTAGAGGTAGAATGAAAAAAGTCTATCATTGGGTAAGCTAAATGACATTCTGGGCTGTAACAACCTTCAAAACAGCAGCGGTTTGAATAATTATAATTTCCACCATTGCATTTCATTCCTTGGAAAACGGCATTTCACCACGATTTAAATCTCCTCCACAATGTCAGTTTCTGAACCTATCTCACTAGATCTTTTTCGTTTCCTGGAAGGCCACTCTGCTTCCCACTGGATCCTCTCAAACTTCCTAGACTGCACTCGTAATTCCTGCAAGTCATCGTATCCCTCATCTAATTCCTCGTAAAAACTGAGATATTTCTCAAACTTGACATTGATATCGCCTGCTTCATGATATTCCATATCGAAGCGCAGATTTCGCGCGAATTCTTGAAAGTCTGGGTCGATGGGTCTGTAGTCAATTGGCTGCTTCCCAAGAAGGGCATTTTTGAACCAAAACTCGTCTACTTGGTCGATCTCGAAACCGCACTCTTCGCAAATATTCCCCCCAAATTCCACTTCACCGGCGCAAATATCACAGCAATCGATCCCCTGGTCTCTGGATTCTTTCGCAATAGTCCGCCAGTATCGAACCTCCCGAGTGACAATTTTGTAAATGTTAAAGATCCGCCTCGCGATGGATGAATATATATATCCAGGTTCCTGCCAAGGGTAAAGATTGCGCGAAAAGAGATACGCACTTAGCCCGGGCCGTGACGAACCTTGGCGAACGGGAGGTTCGCATCCCAGAAATAGGATCCAATCCACAAATTGAAATCCTTCTGAGAAAATACCATAAGAGTTTTCAATGTTCCACCGTTTTCCATATTTATCTTTTCCGAAGCCGCGGATGTTCGGGACCCTATGAATTCGCGAGGTATGATAGACATCATGGTTCTCAAACGTGTTTTTGATTACCATGCCTAAAATCGCTGGCGTTGGTAAATCGGGTGGTCCATCCATGAGAAAGACGCATACCGAGCTCATCTGGCGTCCAGCATCGTGTTGATGGCCGTGGGCATAGACCAGAACACACCCGTCTGAGGAAACATTGAGAGTACCAAAGTCAAAAGGCTCCAGTGATGAATTTGACATATGTATCTGGTCAAAGGAACTCGATGTATTCAAAAATGGTTCTTGGGGTTCGAGTTCCCCTTTCTTGAACTGGTTGTAGATGTAATGGACGATATCCCTAGGACTTGAATTGCTAGCCACCAAACGAATCCGAGATCCCCTGCCATCTACTCTCAGGCAAATTCGTCGGATGGCAGCGAAGAGGGTGTGTCTCGTATTTCCCGCATGAAGTTTAGCGATGATGTTCTTCAGCACTTCGATTTCACATTCATTTCCCACCAAAGGCGGCCGACAAGTTACTCGCCGTCGGCTGTACATGGAGGCCATAACGAGATCCTCAAATGCGTCTTCAGCAACGGCAATCACGGTCAATTCCCGAACCTTCACCCAGTTCGGCAGTAGGAATGAAGCATATGTCACTAAAGCATAGAATTTGATTTGATCGAGATGATGTGATCGTGGCATCCGAGAACGTCCAGTCCACTCCTCCTCCATCATACCCAGGCAGGCCCAACTTATCGATAGAGGAATCTCTTGCAACTTTGTGATAATTTGTCTCGCCAGGATTTTCCTAGCTTGATCTTGAGTTGATTGTAGCATTGTCGTCACATTGTCTCTTGTCACTAAAAAGCAACGATATTGACTCTCGACAAAGGTGGCATGTCGAATGATCCCCAACGGGCTGTCCAATGCTTCGAAACCCTTGAGACCCAGATGATAGCTGTCTTGGGTGCTTCTAGAGCTTTCATCCGATGTGTTAGGATGTATTGACGTGAATGTGGAAAATATGTCGGTATCTGGATGAATCATGCTTGCACAATCATTCTGCCCAGATGCTACGATCCTGAGTTGGTTTAATATGTCCTCGCGATAAATGTCACGAGCCCACTCAAAGACATAATCGACAATCAGCAGAAGCTGTAATGCCCCATTTCTCGATGTAATAGAGCCTCCCCATAGATCAAAAATTTGCTGGGAGAAAATTAGCATGCGCCGTCCTTACTCCAGGAAACGTCTATTGGACCAAGATCCCCAGGTGAAACGAACATATTCAGTAGTACCAATAGTCCCAGATTTCTCGCCTGCACCATTACATACGCATGCCACAGACACTCGCCAATCCTCTCCTCTATTCATTAGTAACCAGACTAATGGATCAGCGTGCCGCTTCGCGTGCCGCTCAGTCATATTTTTCAACAACTCCTGCGTGCATAACAGTGTCCGCACCGGAAACGCGGATTGCAACTTAATGGAATTCCAATCGCTATCGGCCGACTTCGCTGACTTTGCCTCGAGAAGAAGAAATGGGAACACCACTGGATCTCCTTCCTCACTGAGCGGAGGATCTCCCAGGATCTCATGAACAAGCATATCCTGATCATCCTCCGGCCTACCTATACAGGCTGTGTCGTTCAAGAGGTTTTCAATGTTTCGAGTCTGTCGAAGTCCGTATATTGCATCTGGCTTTGTAGCACTTGGTAGTTCTTTCTGGACAGTTGGATCGTGGTGTATTAGTTCATCTTCCCGATGGCCAAAAATCCGATTCAGCCCGATAGCTTCCATTCTGCGTGGCCTGTTAGTGCCAGTGACTAGCATGTGATGTGTTCTTAATCCGTGACTCACGAATCCCCAAGCCTGAAGTCTCGCGAACAGCGACATGGCTTTCGTTTATTCTGCCGAACACGCAGGGCTTCTGTTATAGTCGAGTTCGCCTCACTTGTCGCTTCGATTTCCGAACGCCATACTCTCTTCCGACAAAACTTGCTGGGATCCAATGTAAGTCATTTTGTTTAGGTCGTTGCAATTAGAATTCCTACCATACGACTTCTGAAGTAAGTCGAGCCAACACGTAAGGTTCGCACGCAAACCGCCAGGTCGATTCATTTCGCCTCACACAGCGCTTAGCCCGTTCAGAGAGCTCATCAGCATGTTTTTTTATTTCTGCAGTCCATGGTGCATCTTCAATAGCTGTCGCACAAGCCGCATAGGTGTCGAATTGCCTCTTTCCTAGCTCATCAACCGCAGTAAAAATCGGACGATGGAAATCGGGCCATTCATGGCTTGGAAGCTCTCCGCGGAATTCAATTCTGTACTTCCGTCTGAGTCTTTCAACCTTCTTCCGTTCTTGGGCTGTGAATGGCATGGGTAAAGTGTAGGCCTGAGACTTGAGAAGTGTGGTCTAGAGTCATGAAAGAGTATAGCTGTGGGAATTCCGATAGTTATCTAGATATAAATACTAATACATAATCCAGCCCTGATATGGACTAACATTACTGTTGTAGCTGCCCCACAGCGTAGGCGCTCTGCGAGGCGTAGCCAGTCTAACTTCTTGGAGTCTGGTCAAGGCTAAGAGGAGGTGGCTGTGCTTGCCTCATGCGATTGGGAAAATACGGGTGCCGGTGTCTTAATCCTGGTATATCCACTTTCACCAATGGATCCTCGATACATAAATACGAAGCGAACAAAGTAGCCGCCTAGATACTTCTATAGAGAATGATAGGTTCTAAAGGCACCTTAGCGATTCTATGACGTAAGGTCAAGAATGTTAGGAGGGAAGCCTGACAGGCAAAAGGGCAACTCGGCGGCGAAGTAGACATACCCTAGTAGTCGGTATCCTATTAATAATTACGGTATCCATACTGATGCAGGAGTTTTGTAGGGGACTAAGTCATTCTCGCTTTTTTTTATTTTTTTTAGTTATTTTTTAGTATACCCTTCTATGCGATTAGAGCACGCGATTGGGGTTCAAACCATCGTCTAAATTATCAAATCCATACCCAATCACACTATAACACTAAACTCTGGCTTGGCTGCCTATACAGTGAGCGCCGCGGCCCGTAAGGTTCTCACCCTATCTATAGTTAGCACACTTACTCTCGTCTCCCCGCGCGACCGTAACACGGCGCTCACCCATTTGTCACCCGGCACCTACCAAACTATTGGCCGCATATAAGCCCCTCGCCGGTGAGTTAGTAGTGGGGTGACCTCCAGCGAGTTTATCAATATCAAATTTGATTCTCCTAGACGGCCCTCTTTCTTTCCCACTGTCATTTGAATCCTAGGACATGTGTCAACCGATAGAAGTTAGTACCAGAGAGTGATCAAAACAACACACCTGTAAGAAAAAAAATCAGTACGGGAGTGGAAGGACACGTCAGCGGTTCAGAGGCTCACAGGATATTCAGGTGTAGAATAGTGGTGTTCAGGGCATTCAGGCGAATGAGCTGAAGGGACTGAAGAGTAGGGCGGCAAGAGGGATTTACCAAGTCAAGGAAAAAAACAAAAACATACAACAGTGAGGATTCGCTGGTGGTCACCCACCCAACTACTAACTCACCGGCGTGTGGCTTAAGTACGGCTGAGCGGACGGGAAGCCCTGTTTTCCACACCCTATGGTCGTATGTATATGACCACACATGGGAAAGAAATATAGAGTGACAAGTGCTGGGTGCACATTTTGAGAGCGAGAAATGGGCGAGAGCCGTGTGAGCGTAGCGCGACGGGGTGAGAAGGGTGAGTCCCCTCAAAAAATAATTCCCGCAAGCATTCTTCCCTCCCTTTCCCTTGAGTTCCCTTCCTCCCCAGCATGTCAACCATCCTCCCAATCCATACGAATAGTTACTAAGGGAATTGGATGAACGATGAATTAAGTCATTGCCGAAGAGTCCTAGATTTGACCACTCCTTCAGTTCGTCACTTATACGTCTCAGTTTCTCACATATGCCCGACTGGTCCACCTGAACTCCAAAAACGCCCGGGTGACCCCACTCATATCAAGCTCTTTATTAGTTCGATCTGTATTAACAGACAGTCTCCACGTGGTAAACGGACCCAGCGCCGCAATGCTGTTTTTCCCCGCTTTATCGCCAATGTAGTGGTCGTTTTGGATATTCTGCTTGCTGAAGACGTTTTTCGTACGAGCTTCGTTCAAGTTCGTCACTTTGGATACATCGTAATCGAATCCGATGGTGACCTGGTCATGGGAAAATTTCAAGTCCTTGCGATGGGTATCCTGGATGATGTCCTCGCCGGTGTGGATAAGCTCGACGGAGAGTATTTTGCGTCCAGTGACATCAGCATCTAGATTCACGCCGAGCATCCAGAGACGGACCTCGCTGAGCCGGATGTCTATTCGGTCTCCGAATTCGGTATAGGTAGCCGGATTTAGACGGAGATAGGTGGTATAGCCCGAGTCTGATGAGGTGGGCTTTGCTTTCAAGGTGTCAAGCTCGGGCTTGGTGAGTTCTCGCATGAAGCCTTAATCATGACTGTATTGAGGCCATGTGTTGCGCACACTCGCTGCGTACTGCTCCAGTGATTTTGTGAATACCTTGCGAAGTTTGAGCCGAGCATCAGCTAGAAAAGCAAAGTCCTGCAATGGCATGGGATCAAACGCGATGGGGATTCGCTGGAGGCCCCAGTATCGGATGGCGCGGCTTTGATAGTTAAGGGTTTGCATGACTTGCAGCCGAAGATCATCGCCGACCTTGCGGAGCCAGAAAACAACAGCCGGGAGAGATGGTTGATTTGGAGGCCCTGCTGGCCTAGATTGTTGATTTGTTTGGTAAAATATTCTTCTGCTGTGAGTGACTCAGCCAGAAACTGAATGCAACAGTTGTATTCCACCACGGCTGCATTTCTAGATTGCACGGTTGACATGTAGTCTTCTAGCTCTTTGTTGATCTTGTCGAGGGTGCTCTTTGGAATGGCATTCTTGAACTCATTGAGGATCTTTTGGATATTTCCGGCTGTGGTGAGTGTTTTGATAGCGCCGGGGTCATCCACCGCGATGCTGTTATCTTTGCGGGTGCTGAATCCATCTATCAAGGACTTGATGGTGTCACCGCAGGTGGTGAGCTGGTCGATCACATAAACCTTCTTGACAAAGTTTCCATTCTTGTCTTTCGCCATCGTGGTAGACTTGTAGATTGCGTAGCCCATACCGGCTAGGTTGAGGACTGACTGGACGTCTTTCCTGGTGCTCACCAAGGTACGTAGAGAATCGAGGATCAGCTGTGGATCTAGAGAATATTGAAGCTCAACATGAGCAAGACCCTGCTGGATCTTCTCCCGCTGAGGCTTAAGGATCAATGTCGGGGACGCCTTTAGCAGATGCATGGCACTCTTTGTCATTTCCTGCGAAAAGGACCTTGGTCAAACAATTCGCAGCTTACTCCGCTAAGCTTTTTCAGAACAAACTCCAGCGGATTGGGAATATCTATGAAAATCCATGTACTCCCGATGGCTCCCCGCTAGATGAAGCTATTTGGCCTGCTGAGGGCTCAGTATATTTCAACGCATCGGCCCTGAATGAATCGAAAATCCCAGGCCCTCCCGATGTAGGCAGAATCGTTTCAATGGACTTTTTCTGGGGGCCGAGTATTCATGAGGATGTTCACCAGGGGCCATTCAATTCTAGCAAAGACTGGATGCTGTCCCGTCTGTTACTAGAGGAAAGGAACCATGAATCAAAGCTGTCTAGTTTACCATCAAGTGATTTTGATCGTAAGCAGGAAGCTAGGGAGGAAGATGCCACAAGAACATTGGACATCATTGGAAAGCTGAAAAATATGCTATCATTGGTTTTTCAGCTCAATGAGGACCACTCTGAAGACAGCCCTGAACCATCGATCATCGTCCATGATGACCTTTCCAGCCGAAATATTCTCGTCCAAGACAACAGAGAGCTGGCTGCTGTCTTAGACTGGGAATGTGTCGCGGCACTTCCTTTGTGGGCTGCCTGCAATTATCCCGCATATTTGGAAGGGCCAATTAGACGCACAGAGCCCGATCGAACAACATATGGCCATGAAGAGGATGGAGAACCCTGCGATCTCTACTTGGAGCACTTGGAGAATTATGAGCTTACTCTTCTTCGTGGCGTCTTTATGGATACGATGAGAGCCCTGGAACCTGGATGGGTGGATGTATTTGAGGAAACTCAGCGCGAAAGAGATTTTGATTATGCAGTACGGAGTTGCGATAATGCTTTCGAGGCGCGGGTCATACGAGAGTGGATTGAAGATGTCACCTCTGGAAACAACCCTGAGGGCTTGTGTGAAAGGATTAATAAGGCTCAGGAACTGCTAGGCAATCCTCAAGGCCCTATGTCATAGAATAGGCGAGCAAGCACTAGATAATTCGGCTAGGTGACGCTCACCGCAGTTGATTTAAGCTAAGGCAGCTTCCATTCAAGAAGTGATTGGGTGCAAATTGAAATGCCACGTAGGTTGTACTTTTGTCAACATTTTCTCCACATCTACTGCAGAACTACTTCAAGTTTTCCCGCTCTCTAAAAACAATATCCCCAATTGGTCTCGGTTATAAGTCTAAGCATTGGTTGCGAATATACAGCCAGCCTGTCCCACCAACTTCTTACATCTGCCAAACACGCTTCTCCAGCTGCGATTTACAATAGTATGCCTGTTTCTTTCAAAATACCTTCTTGCAGTTTGAAGCTGTTCGTTGCCTGCATCATCCTAGCGGCAATAGTCCTCCGACTCTTCGCAAACAGATATAAACGAGGACTGGCAAATATCCCCGGTCCAACTATCGCCAAATACTCTAGTCTCTGGAAGCTGCACAATGTCTGGAAAGGAAACCATCACCAGACAGCTCTTGACCTACACTGCAAGCACGGCTCACTTGTTCGCATTGGCCCAAACCATATCTCGGTCGGCGATCCCAGCGCTATCCCTATAATTTACGGCTTCAACACAGGCTTTACGAAGGTGTGACTGCCATCATTCACAAACACAGATAAAAGATGTAAATCACTTACGCAAAATAAAAGACAGCATTCTTCCCAATCCTGTCAATATCATGGAACAAAAGGCCCCAAATGAACCTCTTCTCCACAAGAGACGAAACCTACCACAGACATCAAAAGCGCATCGTTGCAAATGCATACAGCGTCTCCTCGCTCCTAGAACTCGAATCCTCAGTCGACTCCTGCACAGAGATATTCACATCTCAGCTCTCGAAATTCGCCACAAAAGGCACACCTATGGACCTAGGCGTCTGGCTCCAATACTACGCCTTCGATGTCATCGGCGAAATCACCTTCGCTAAGAAACTTGGCTTCCTGGAGCAATGCCGCGACATCGACGGCATGATGCAGGCTATCAAGGGTATGCTTGTGTATGCCAGTCTATGCGGACAGGTCCCGAAAATGCACAAATTTCTCCTTGGGAATCCGCTTTTGACGCTGTTTATGCCCAGCATGGAGTCATGGAACCAGGTTCTGCAATTCACGCTGAAGGCTGTCAACTCTGTTGCTTCGCTAAAAAGAGATGGAGATAAGATTAATGCGTATCAGGGGGAGGGTACAGGCGGGAAAGATATGATGTCCCGTTGGATGGCGGTGCATCGTGATGATCCCGAGAGATTATCGGTGCGGGATATTATCGTGCATCTTTCTGCTAATGTTTTCGTTGGCGCCGCTACCACGGGTATTGCGCTACGCGCGATTCTGAATTTTCTTATGCGGGACCCGCGGATTATGGACAAGGTCAAAGGTGAGATCGACGTTGCTGTTCGTAAGGGCAGGGTTGGGAATCCGATCTCGTACCGTGAATCGCTGGCTCATTTACCCTATATGACGGCTGTCATTAAAGAAGCGCTGAGACTCCATCCTTCTACGGGGTTGATTATAGAGCGAGAGGTTCCTCAGCCGGGCGCTACGATTTGTGGGAAGTACATCCCCGGCGGGACTATTGTGGGTATCAATGCTTGGGTTGTGAATCGGAATGCGCGAGTATTTCATGATCCTGATATGTTTATTCCTGAGAGGTGGCTGGAGAGTACGACTGAGAAACTGATGGAGATGGAGCAGGCTATATTTACTTTTGGGTCTGGGCCGAGGGCTTGTGTTGGGAAGAATGTCTCTTTTATTGAGATGCATAAGATAGTCCCGCAGCTGCTGCGGGAATTTGAAATTCGTTTGAATAGTTCCAAGGAGTTGGAGGTGAGAAACATTTGGTTCGTGCAGCAGGAGGGAATGATATGTGATCTTGTGAAGAGGTGAAATGAATTCGTGGTGATGATGTTGTACTACTTGTATCCTTTCTGAGTAGCATTTCGGTCTAGGAGTTCCAACCCGCGATGCCCAACTTCGAGGCTTCCATTCTAGGGAAGGGAGCGCGAAATAGCGAGGTCTACCCGTGGAAGGCACAGGCCGAGTCACCAACCGGGAGGTGGAGAAGCTAACCGAGGCAATTAAAGGGCTCATTGCCTACCAAATCATACTTATAGAATCCACCAAGGCGGACCTGTTGGATATCAAACACGACCAGAGAATATGCTGCTTTAAATTATTAAATATTCTAACTAATGGGTTCACACCAACCAAAGAGAGAGGTGAAAACAAGAAACCCGGCTTATCTTGGAGGGAGCGCCTTATTGAAGGCGGCAAAGCAAGGAAAGCTTGCAAAGCCAGCCAAATCAGTTGGGCATACCCCAACGAGGCGCGTTCACGATGATTCCGGTCAGACAACCAGAGATGATACCGGCGCAGGGAAGCGTGATGATCCAACCCATGTAGATCCAGGCAACCATTCGCCAGTTGATCGTTCGCCAAGTGCCGTTGCAAAGTCCAACACCGACAGTAGCGCCAGTGATACACTGTGTAGTGGAGACGGGGAGCTCTGCAAGTGTGACATGTTAGCGAGTGATCTTGTACAATTGCAAGGGGGCGTTCTGTTTGGTGATAATTTGGGAATAGATGAAAGGTGACATACTCAGTCTGGTGGCAACAATGACAGCAATGGCAGCACCGAGCTCCATAGCGAAACCACGAGAGGGAGAGTGCAGGGTAAGACGGTTACCCAGGTTGCGCATGATGTGATAACCGTATGTCCAGATACCGATTGCGATAGCGGCACCACCAAAGACACTGGAGAATGTGGATTAGCACGGAAGCGGCCTTTTATTGGAGGAGTGAGGCTTACAGGATCCACATGGGGACCTCGGTTTTAGCGCCTTCAAGGGCACCAGTTTTCCATATAGCATAGATGGTTGCGTAAGGGCCGACAGCGCTGGGAGTAGTCAGTACATGAGTCGATAGTAGGTAGGCGAAGGGGGAAAACTAACTTGGCCACATCGTTTGCACCGTGGGTGAAAGAAGCAGTACAGGCTGTCAGAATTTGGAGGAAAGAAAACATGTACTCCGCTTCGTTATCATAGTGTTCAGCATGGGCATGGGTTTTCTCGAGATCGCCAGCGAGTCTGCTCTCGCCCTTCTGGGCGCTAACAATGTCTTGCTCGATACCGTTGAAGAAGGCCTTCTTCAGCAGCCAGAACAGGACGGGAGTGCTATACCATGCTCCCTCGGGACGAGGACCACAAAGGTTGACGACATCAGGATCCATGGATTCCGTCTCGTTATGCGAGTTGGCAGTGACCTGGGTCTCTGCCTTGAGATCGGGGGACCCAGGCTCACTGTTGCCGTTGCTGTGGCTTTGTTCGACATCAGTGGAACGCTCGGCTTCCAGTTCCTCCAAAGTCTTGTGGCCGCGATAATAGTTACGGACGGTCTCAACATGGGCAGGAGGGGGAGGGACTTCACCACGGCGGAGGAGAAGAGGACCGTAGATCATATCCCAAGGCTTGAGTTGCCAGTCATTCATGATCACCCTGCGGTAGATCCAGGGGCAAAGGAAGACAGCAGAGATAAGAGCCATGCCAACGCCAACACCAATAATAGTTCCAGCTATCTCAGCCCCTTCGAGGTCAATCCTGCTGCTGCCACCCTTCCAGACAATAAGCACTGTGTTTTATCAGTAGCTGATACAGATGGATCAGAGTCTTGAGGGAACATACTGGTAAGGAGGCCGGTAGTCAAGAGGAAGTAGAAGGGAATGGTGTACAAAGCCTTGAGGGCAGGATTCTTCTGCAGTAGGATACCATACTTGGTGATCAAAAAAATAAGCGCACCAGCAACACCAGATAAGAGAGGTGCAATAACCCAGGCAAGGAACACCTGAACGACACCAGAGTTAATATCACCTCCCCACCAGATAATATCATCAGCACCGAGAAGCGCGATACCCATTCCAAGAACACCACCGAGAATGGAGTGGGTTGTCGAAACAGGAAGACCTATCTTGGTACAGATGGTAAGATAGATAGAGGAGGCAACCACAGCGCAACACATTCCAAGCATGAGGAGGGGGGCGTTTTCGGCGAAGGCATCGATCTTGACGATCTTGGTACGGATAGTATCGGAAACGCTGTTTCCTACACCAACACTGGGAACACAAGTGAGTACGAGGCCAGGAAACGGAAAGCAGATCATAAACTTACGCTCCAGCAAACTCCATGATAGATCCGAGGATCATGGCCTGCCAGTGCTTTAGCGAGCGCGACGAGACAGACGTCGACCAAGAGTTGGCGCAATCATTGGCACCAATGTTCCAAGCATCGAGGAACGCGAATATTGTGCCAATGGCAAAGATGTAGTCGTACTGCCCAAGAACCATCTTGACGGTTGACAGAAAGCAGCAGCGCGCTGGCTTGTCCTTTTTGGAAGGGTTCTAGAATGGTTCTAGAGGGCTGATGGGATAAAAGGGAAATTAGTAGGATGATCTGGACTGGACCTTTATATGTGCCACCTCTGATCAGGGCCAGGAAATGACAGCCCATGCGCTGTAGATACAGCGATACAGCGATCTAGCATGCCAAGCTGCCCAGGCCCACCGCGCCGCCAAGCAATCTCTCCGGCGCCTGGGCATTGGCCCAGATGGGTCTCCGCCGACGAATCCCGCCATCGCATACAAGAACGTGTCCACCCCATATAGAAAACTCCAGACTAACTTCCCATTACCACGCTAAATGTCGCGCGAATTTCTCGGGACGGTGCAGAGATACGAGATCCTTCCTCTCTGCGAATTTCCTCCTTCCGTGCATTCTCCTCTTGGGGCAGAAACGTGAAGGCCTCCATTGGACCCCAGCTGCTATAGCCATAACCTTCTCTAGCCCTTGGCAGGACATATGAGCACGAGCCTGTGCGCCGTGTAGGCACCTTACACAAGCCTCACAACCTGGTATTCACCACATCGTGATTAAATTCAACTTCCTTATTGGCTGGATTGTTTAATCTACTGACATTGAGCACTGAGTCTGATTCTGACACCCGGCGCACCTCTGGATATCCACCACAGCTGTCGCTTAGCCACCGTGATCTAGCTCTCTCAGTTCCTCGACCTGTTTCTGGAGGTGTTATGAGCTTACTAGGTCTTGTGACGCCCCGTCAAATTGCTTAGGATCTTCCATGATGGCCGACCAGTATTTGGCCCAAATTTCGTTGCTTTGAGAAATTGTCGTTTAATGCAGGACTCGATGTACCAACAGCGCCTGGGAATGGAGCATTGGATTCGTAGGAGTAGGTGGTGCGATAGATGATATATCCTTAGCCTGGGAAACCGTAAAGTCTATTACGGAGCTCGTCCATGCTTGGGGTGACTGAGTGTAAGGCATGTTGACGGGCTTAGGGTTTGACGAGGGGAAAGAGATGAGGAGGGAAAGTTCCGCTCTTCGACAATGCCAAGATGCTACAAACTGGTCCTCGCCCTATTTTTTCAAAAATTATAGACCCTCCGTTGGGAGAGTCCGCCACCCATAGGAAAAGAATCATCCAAATGACAGTTTTTTTATAAAATTCCACCAAACCACAATACCAGCAATGCCTAAAACCAATGAAGGAAATATTGTCGGATGTCACATGACCTCTGTTGTTTGCTCCTATAGTCCCTAACGGATGTTAGGGTCGAACATATATACCGCTGTAGAGACAAACAGACGTTGTGTTTGTCCTTAATGATCTTTTAGCCTAACTAGTTAACTAGCGGCCAAATTCTTATATAATCCCTCAGGAGTAGCGGCCAAAGCTACGGGCGACTAAGTGTGCCACCTGGGCATAACTCTCTTATTGGATAGACATGCAACTTCATCCCGATTTGGTCGTCGTGTAACCACCCCTGCGGTATGGCCTCCTAATTGTGGCTACATACTATAGAACAAGTGGCAAATATTTTATGCAAACGACGGTTTATGGAATGCCCAGCCTTCAAGATGATTATGGGAAGCAGCGGCTACCACCGGATCTGTATAAAGTAGCTAATACATGATAATAGGTGAAGGTGGGGTAGGGCTCAACTAAGAAGCCTAAAGATGGCCCCTGCAGCCTTATTTACTAATTCGAGCTTTATATAATCCGTAGCCTCTATAGAGAGGGTATGAAGCGTAGAATTTTTTCCCATATAGTATTTTTCCATCTCGACAATTAACTGCTGATAAACAAGGTCTCACAAGGTTAGATCATTCATTATGCTATAAGGATAGAGCCATGCAAATGATTCCATGGAGAAGTACACACATACTTTACTGTTACATATGGCATAACTAACGCCTTTTATGAGGTGATACATGGAAAGTTTTTGGGGGATCTAGATCACCATATTCGTGAATAAATAAGGGTTTAATTCCTACTTATATTAGATGAAGCTGCACCAATTGGGAATAATGCGAGGACAAAAGCCATTTCAATTGCTGATACTAATCAATCTCTATTTCGTCTTGTCAATCTATATGAAATAGAGGTTACAATCTGTATCAGCTATGAAATATGGACACCTTGATTGCCTAATCAGAGTAACGGACCTTGGGAATCAAAAAAGGGAACAGATCGATGACACGAGTTGCTTCTGATCAAGAAAATTAAAAAGATCAAATCAGTGGAATCAGGAGGTTGAGATACCCTAGAAAATTAGTGCTCGGACGTTATAAGTCTTGAGGCGGCGGGAAGCCCTGTACGTAAAGTGTAGATATAACATCGCGCGCACATCGAGACTGGCTGGTATTGGTCTGACAAAATATCACGGTAGAATAAATTGCTAAGATTCCCTCATGCCCTAGTGACCTGCGGCCGTTTAGGTACTAGAATTCCTGTTTTCGTTATTTTTGTGATCATATTGAGCTGTCATTCTTACTGCATGCATGAAGAAGGTCAGATCTATAGACATGAAGGGT